TTTGGACTATAAATAGCCATGAGAGGGGAGGCTATTTTGCACAAAGAGAGGAAGAATCAAGTGAGAAACCTTGAGAAATAGGGAAGAAAGAGTTAGGAAGAAATTTTTAGTTGCAAGAAGAGTAGAGGCTCTGGAGGGTTTTCGGGGAAACAAATTCTAAGCAAGAGATTAAGTCTGGAATAGAGGTAGGGGAGCTAACCTTTCTAAGCTTTTATATTATGATTTAGCATTGTTTTATTACTATTAATGTCTTGAAATTCTGTGTGAATATTGTTAATGCTTACTGTATATCTATCTATATTGAATTTCTGTGTTAATATTATATGCTGTTGTTTTGAATCTGTAAATAAGAAATTTGTTAAAACTAGTTGAGGAAACTTTGGCTAAGGAAAGACTTGGTACTTAAGTTGTCCATTGTGACACACCTCTCTTTCCTGGAAGTCTACTTGACAAGTTTTTAACTTAAATCTTGTTGAACAGATTCTGTATTATTAAATTATTGTGCAATATATCTTGTTGGAATAAAAATTTCTGATGAATTCATGTTATTGTGGTAGATATGGAATTATGAATTATAATTGTGATGGTAGGATAGAGGAATCTTAAAAACCGGAGTTGGTACATCCCTAATCATAGAGCAGCCCTGGTCAAATCCAGTAAGTTATGACTAGTCATATGTACTGGCGTTTATGGTGAGTTTGATTCGTCAAACATTTGATTCTTCTCCGATGACCATTTATGGTGATATTTTAGTATTATTAATTTATTGTGTGATATATTCATTTTGTATGATTTCTGTTATGATTGTAATTTATTATATTGGATTTGAATTTATGCATCTGAACATGATATGAGTATTATGGAGAGATTTCGTAATGGTATAATATGAGTTGAGAAATGTGAGAATGGTATGAGTCTCGCGGAGAGATTCTGTAATGCCATGGTATGTGTGTATATGTTGATGTTGAGGGTCCTGAAGTTGGAGGTTATCCTAATACTCTAATAATCATCCAGTCTCTGGTAGAGAAGGATAAATTATGTGGTGAGAGGGGTAGGTGATCCTGGTCTATGTGTCGGTTTTGGACATATTGTTGAGGACTAAGAAGGCATCACAAGTGCGTAACCTCCCGTTGACCGCTCATCAACATATCATCGGAATAAGTGTCTATTGGGCATTGTGGAATGAGTGTCTATTGAGTATTGTGGGACGATTGTCCATTGAGTATTGTGGGACGAATGTCTATTAGTAATTGTGGTATGGTGGGATGAGTATCTATGATGCGATTGTGGTATGATGGTATAAGTATCTATGATGTGATTGTTGTATGATGGTTTGAGTATCTATGATGTGATTGTTGTATGATGGTATAAGTATCTATGATGCGATTGTTGTATGATGGTATGAGTATCTATGATGCGATTGTTATATGATGGTATGAGTATCTATGATGCGATTGTTGTATGATGGTAGGAGGGTGTCTCACATAATTATTATATGAGGTTTGTTGAGTAATGGATGAGTATCTATGATGCGATTGTTGTATGATGGTAGGAGGGTGTCTGACATAATTATTATATGAGGTTTGTTGAGTGCATCAAAGTAATTATGCATGTTTTATAAATGATTAGTTGCATGTTAGCTCACCCTACTTTTTTGTGTTTGTGTTTGGGTATGTGCGATGATCGTATAATTCGTTATACGGGAACAGATGAAGGAATGTTGTCGGACTCAGTGCCAATGAAGAGAAAGATAAAAGAATAAAATAGAAGAACTCAAGTTATAATTATGATTTTGTAGTCGAAATCTGAGTTTAAAACATGTATAGACATATATCAACTATGAATTTTTAAGTGTGAGATTACGAGATGTTACCGTAAATATAATGTTACAATATATAAATTATGAATTATCAAGTGTGAGATATTCGGATGTTACAGTTGAAACATATAACTCTAAAAAATGAGTTAAAAAAGCTTTAAACTATTTTCTCACTAAACTAGAGCATCTAATATGAAACTTATTAAGCAACGTAAATTTTATATTATTTTACTTGTTGAGCTACTTATATTTCTTCCTTAAACATTATACTTAAAATGTTTCACTAACCAAATCAATGATTACAAGTTAAGTACATAAATTGTTCCTAGTTATAAGTATACAAATGACTTATGACTCTATACAAATCACGTCTGCTTAACCTTCTTAATTCTCCTAGTATTAAGAACTCCAAGTAAAAAATCTCACAAATAATATAATTTAAACTAACTTCAAATTATGAATTTACAAAGTATTTCTCAAAACACACCAAGAACACTTTTGATCACATAAAACTTAAAAAATGTTTGTAATAGACAATGTGTCCACTTCAACTTAATTTCTTTTTATAATTTTCATGAAGATGATCGTTGCAGTTTGAATCAACTAAGTTTGGATTTTGCAAGATATCTTTATAAGCTTCAAAGTCTATCTTCATCTTTAATATCTTGGATGCTTGAAAAGAAAACAAATGATTTAATCTCTTCCAAACATTCTTGAATCATTTATGTATAAGAAAACAAGTCAAATAATATATATAGAAATTATAACTTAACAAAATCGCATAAATTCATTTGTTTTATAAAATGAACTGTTGCTTCATAAAATCTATTTAAATACAAATAATATATTCGTTGATATTGTTATTTAAAAAACATAGTTTTACATAAAAAAAATGTTTAATCATTAAGATTTTATTATATTAAACAACTATAACATCAATTTAGATAAGGTCCATTAAATCCTTTATTAAATATTATATTGTTTGTTTAGAAACCAACGTGAACTTGTCACAAAAATACATATTAAAATATTTAGATAATTAAAACAAATAACACTTAAAATGTTTATTATGATATAATCATTGGATGATCCATTGATGTTAACGAGATTCTAATCGTCTCAATATATATTACCTATTAAAAATCTTCTTAACAACTTGATAAGGATCCCTGTTTACATTCTCATAAAAACAATTTATAAGTTTAAATTGAAAAATATAAATATTTTATTGTTGTACGTATTAATCTCATGGAGTTGAAACAATATTATCTTTGATAAAAAAAAAATAAATAAGAAGTAAACATTTGCAACCTCGTATAGAACACAATCTTAATCATCTTAGAAAAAATGATTTGCAACCTCCGGAAGATATTTTTAAATTATTGGACAGCTGGGAAATGCTTACAAACAAGTGAACCAAACCATTTTGAATTCCAAAAATTTAAGTCATAGTTTGAGAAGATAATTAAAATACGTAGCTTGCACGAAGACAGCAAACACCAATGCAGTGTCACACTCTGCACAGTCAATCTTAACAATCACGCACCAACGAAACCATTTCCAATCAATGCTGATAATAGCTAACATCCAACGTGGTAAGAAATAAGCTGACATCGACATGTGCTACCTAGCTGCTCTTTTCAGACTGTGTGTTTTTATACTTTATTTTCTCAGAATTACAATTCTAAGTTATTTATATTTTAAGCTTTATTAAAAACTGTTTCTCGTATAATTAGGCTTTATAGATATGTTCACTTTGATGTGTATAACCAATAATATAAACATGTGAATGTTGTTAGGTAATGTGTTTCATTATCAAAATATTTTTATTAATATCTATTCAAATGAATTTTATATTAGAATATAGTAATATTTTATTTATTTCGGTTAAACACCAACATCTAAAATGCATTTTAGAATTATTCACACAAATTTCGATGTCCTTTATTTGTTCCAATAGTTTCTTAAACATACCACTAAAAGACAAATTGTAGAATCTTGTAGCCGTTCTATAATGAAATGCTCTAATTGTTATTTCTTCTTTATGTTGCTTTTCTTTTGTCTAATAGGTTACTTTTGCTTGTAAGGTCCTAATTTATCAACTAATAATAAATTGACAAAAAGATTTTTAATTGAATTATTGGTCGGATTAGATTTCGGTAATATTTATTCACAAAAAAGTATTTTAAAACTCGTGAATACATATAAATATTAAAAAATATATATTTTATATATATTTTTTTTAAAAAATAAATAATATATAAATATAATATAATATAAATTAAATTTAAATTTATTTTTAATTAAATTAAATAAAATATTAATTAATTTTATTTTTAATTAAATTAAATTTAATAAAATATAAATTAAATTTTTATTTTTTATGAGTAAATAATACTTGTGAGTAAAATAATATAATATCTACCTCTGTTATAAATTGATATTAAATACTTATTACTTTATATCTACAAATAATAAATATGTGTAAGCAGTAGTTAGGTAAATATTGGTAAAATAAAAATTTGGTACCAATAATAATATTATTTTCTTTCCAATTTTTTAAAAGAGATAACCATAAATGGAATAGAGAATAAGACCAAAGAGTAGATGGACATCTGTACTTTGAAGATTGTCTTCTATTCTCTCTGCATTTTCAGAATCTTTCCCAACACATCAATATCATTTCACTCCAACAAGCAACCCACAATTTCCCTCAACATGATTGAAAGAAAACAGGAATCTCTTCTTTTCTCTAAGAGAAAAATAAGGAAAGAAGAAAACCAACTTCTCCCTAACAAGTCACTAATAATTACATAATTAAAAAGAATCTTTTTTGGTTAGGTTAATCTTAATATCGTGTAACAAAAAAAATACCCTTTTATTATTTTATTTTTTTTCTCAAAAATACATGTCATTACTTATTTATCTTGTGTCCTTAACGTTCAAAATTCTCCTTTATCCAAAGTTAACAGCTTAACAGTCGTACTTAACCATTTAACAATTCTGTTACCAATAGAAAAACTTAAAAGAAAGATACAAAGAGAAGAATCCTAATTCCTAGCGTAGTGGCTAATCTTCTTGTGGGGCCACTGCACCATTTTAAAAATTGTCATTTTCAAGATGAATAAACATACACTCTATTCATGTGTAAATAGCTTGTGAGCTCACCCTTTATATTTAAGAGGAACAAGACACCCTGAGCGCTTACTCTTGTGTGCTTCTACTGATGAGATTCCACGCAAAACTCCACAAAAGCCACCTTCTTTGATTCAACAAATCAACATCCAATTTTAAAAATCCCATTTTGTTTTCCCTTCTTTTTTTCTTATATAATCCAATTTTCCCTTTGAATACTCCTTCATCTGGGGTGAAGATGGACGCCAATGACTGGGTAGTTCTTTCTGATGACAGTCTTTTTGATCTCAACGAAGATTGTGTTGAGAAGCAGGTCTTTTTGGGGAAAAGAAACTTGGATTCAAAAAGTGTTTTTGATGTGGATGACTATTACTTCTGCACCTCACCAAAATTCAAGAAAACCTCCGAGGAATCAAGGAATTTTCATGTGAGGGTTTCCCAAGAGCCTGTCCATATTCCAATTCGATTGGAATCAAGAATTGGGGAGGCCCCAGATGAAGGGTTAGTGGAAGAAACCACAAAGGAACATGTTGAGGTCACTCTTGTGCCATCATCACCTATTGCCGCTGAGAAAATCAAAGGAGTGGTTTTGGAAGCTGATAAAGACACTTTACCACATATTTTGTCAAAATTCAGGGAAATTGAGTCCCCAAAGTCTATTGGTATAGGATTGTTCCTTAAACCTGACATGGGTGGTTTGAAATTTGAGGGGATCGGTAGTGAGGCACAGGAGATGCCCAGAATGAAGATTGATAGAGATGTGACTCTTATGGACTCTAGCAATGAAGTGGAGGACTCTGGTGATGGTTTTAACTTTTGGAAGTGGAGCATGAATGGTGTTGGAGCTATCTGTTCATTTGGGGTTGCTGCTGCCACAATCTGTGTTCTGATCTTTGGCAGCAACCAAAAGAACAAGTTCCACCAGGATCAGAAGATTCGATTCCAGATCTACACTGATGACAAGGTCAGCAAATGTCTCTTTTCTGGGGGTTTAATATGATTTACAAATGAAAACAAAATAGGAACAGTTCTTATGCATATTTTAGTATAGGATTGTGATTCAAGAGTCATTTTTTTCCTAACATTTTGATGAAATGGTGGGGTAGGGTGAAGACTGTGTCTCTGTTGACTTATGCAAAGTATGCAGTTTTACACTTATTGAAAAGTGTATTTGAATATTGAAGTGTTGAAATGACCCTTAATTGTGATTGCAGAGGATTAAGCAGATGGTTGAGCATGCAACCAAGTTGAATGAAGCAGCATTTTCAGCAATGAGCGGTCTTCCTCTATGCAGAGCTCGCATAACTTGCGGTGGTTTCTGTGATGGTGTTTGATTTAGGCATTGATTTAGGAAGTTTGAGATACTACCATGAGTCAACGACATGGAAGAAGTGGCCAAAATCTTCTGTTCAAGATCTATCATATAGCTTTTTTCTTCTATGTAAATAAAATAAGTAGGTTTGGTGCTGGTAAATTAAGCTACAGATTACATTAATATTATCTGTTTGATTTTGAAGGTTGGCTAAAGTAGTGAAATAATTGGTTGAATTAAAGTGGGATAGAGTAAGAATAAGTATAGAAACTTTAGGCATGTTGGTACAAATCTTGGCACAAGTAGGCAGAACTAAGAGTGACAGCAATTATAAACTTTTGGGAAATAAAGTGAAGTCATTAGAAAACATTTCTTTTCTTTCAAGCAACTCTATCACCATTGTTAATGCCACAACAAACTTCCTTCTTTTTGTTTTTATTATATGCTCTTTTAATATTCCAACTTTAAATACAGGCATTGTTTGATACAATATAGATTAACGTTGAACTTATATAATTATATGCAAAAAAAAAATTCATAGAAAGAATGTAACGAATATAGAATCATGTATATTTATTTAGAACAGCTTTTATGACAGATAATATTTTAATGTTCTTTATTAAAATTTAGTTGGAAGAGCCAATTCCGAGCAATATCTTAGATCGCGTAAATAAGTTAGAACTCGATCTTAGAAAAAATTTAAATTTAAAGTTAAATTATAGTACTTAAAAGAGTCTATGAATATTTTTGTTAACTGCAATAAATACTCAAAACTTGAATAAATAGATTTAAATTAATGAAACTTGTCTGTACCAGTGCATCAAAGATTTTCACCAAGTCTTCATCTTCACGTTGCTTTTCGTCCATATACGATTCAACACATTGCTTGATAATCCAATGTTGCAAGCACTTGATGCTGTTCGTTCTAACCATCCTTCAACCTTAGATCTCTGAACTCCCACTAATTGCAAAGCTCTTTACACCATCATTAACGAGACAATGCACTGCCTTCCTGCGTAATTGCTTCTTCCCTAACTTTGCTTTACCGCCAGGATGATAAAGCACTCAAATCATAATCTTTTAGGATTCCAGCCACGCCTCTGCCTCATGTTCAACTCCTTCTGGTCCAATAAATATTGAGGCTCTTTGGACACTGAAGACTTGGAAATTGGATCCGTATGATAATGCCTCCAAATCTTCAATGCAAAACACACTGCTTTGCCCAGCTCCAATCATGCGTTGATAATTCTTCTCATGTATCTCAATTGGCCGAGAACATACGCCACTGCCTTCTTCTTTGCATGAGAACGCAACGCCCAAACTTGGTGAGCTGCAATCACAGTAAACTTCAAACGGTTTGGCAGTGTCCCCGGAATCACTTAAAACTGAATCGCCTTTGTCAACATTCTTCAACTCTTGGAAGCGTTCTTCACAACAAATCCGTCCAAGCAACAGGGTGATCTTTCCCCTTGTACTGCTCACGGTGTTTTTCTACTATCTTGAAAACCCTTATGAAACGCCTATCGTAGCCCGCAAGACCACCAAACCCTCACTTCCGTGGATTGAACGAGACTTTTCCATTCCAACACTACTGCACGCACCTTAGCTGGATCCCTAAATACCTCCAACCGAGACCACATTCCCAAAACGCACCTCCTTCATCCAGAATTCACACTTGGACATTTTGGCATACATTCCTTCTCACGTAACACTCCAAGTACCAGTCTAAGATGTGTCTCATGCCTCCTCTTCGGTCTTGGAAAGATGAGATATCATCTATGAATACAACATACGAACTCGTCCCATAGGTCCTGAAGATGCATTATGTACTCCTCCATAAACAACGGCTGGACGTTCGTCAACTCCAAATGGCATCACACCACAATTCATAATGTCCATACGTGACCTAACGCTGCCTTAATGGATTGTCTTCATCTTTAACTCTGATTTATGATAACCATTAACCGATCTCAAATCAAATCTTGAGAACTATGCAATCTCCATGCAGTTATCTAGCAATCATCTATCCTTGGTAAAGGTTATTTATTCGTGATGGGTCCTATGTGTAATTGCCTGTAATCTATGCACAACCGAGAGCTGCCATCCTTCTTCTTCTTCACTAAGAGTACAGCGCTCCCCATGGTGACACACTCGGTCTAATGAATTGTTTTCTCCATAAGCTCCTCAAATCTGCTTCTTGAAGTCACCAATTCAGCAGTGGCCATCCGTATGGCTGAACGATATAGGGCTGCCGTTGTCAACCAAATCAAGGTGCAATTCAACTTCTCTAACAACTGAGGCAACCCTGGTATCCTCATCTGGAAAAACTCCATAAATTCCTCCACAACTGACGTTCTCTCTTCGACTGCCATAGCGGACTTCGTTCATGTCTCAAATCTCCCAAGCTTCTTGTCTTCAATGCGTCATGATGAGAAAAACAGCTTTGCAACCTTCCATTATATCTTTCCTTCAAACTGCCACTCGTTACTGGTTAACGCCTCTTCTTCTTCATCATTATGAAACACCAATCCTTGTTACCACAATCTAAAGATGTGATTTGGTGGTCAACCAATCCATCCCTAGAATCACCTCCAACCTTGAGAGGTTAACAAATTAAATTCACCTTGTACTACGTCCCTCAACCAACAATAGGACATCTAATGCATACAGTAGACCGTCCTTATCTCCAGCGCCGGGTAGAGAACCACCCGGTCGAACTGCATATTTCCTCTCACTCCACTAATCCCAATTTCTCAACACAACTCCTTCGAGATGAAGGAGTGAGTCGCCCCCGAATCAAACAACACATGACAGGATACTCCACACAGCCAAGCATCACTGGTTATAAGGTTTACCTGAGTTAGCTGCTTCCTCCCCCATTATTGCATACACACGACCCGCTGCTTGTGCTCTACCACCTCTCGGTTGATTCCTTCCAGCAACAGGTGGTCTCGTCACTGCCCGTCACCTCATATTACACTCGTTATTTGAGTGTCGTTCCTTCCACAAAGACTGCAGTACTTTCCTCCAGCTAGTTGAGGGCATGCATTTCTATGTGTGGTTCCTCCACACCGGTAAACCCAGAAAAATACCGTTCCCTTGTACAGGCTGTCCAACAGGAACGATTCGCTTGTGATCCGCTTGTATTAGCTGGTTTGGTTTGGGACGAGCGGAAGGTAATCTTCTTTGAACAGACCTCCTCTGGACCTATTGGTCCCCCTACTCCACTTGTTGCTGTTTTTCTTATGTCGTTCAGCCTCTGCCTGTCTTCTCCAACACCTTAGCCCTCTCAACCATGGCAGGAAATGTCTTATGCCCAGCTTTGAAATCCTGACTTTCAAGTCACTCCTTAGGTATTAGGGACCGTTCTCAAACGTCCTACACTGCCGAATCCTCGTTGGTGGCCATCGTATAAAACCGAACAAGGTGCTTGAACTTGTTGGTATATTCTGAATACTGTCATCCCACCTTGAACCAATGTTGTAAAAACTCCACTTCCTTCGCAAACCGTACACTTTCAGGGAAATACTCCTCGTAAAACTTACTACGAAATACTTCCGCAGTACAGACGTTTAGCTTCTACCAAATAGCTCTGTGCTCGCCCACCATGTCGTGCTTCCCCAGTCAACAAATATTCTGTGTAAAGACAACCTGTTCTCCCGTCCGGACACCCCTCTGGTTGCGTTGAAGAATTCCTCCATGTCCCCTAACCATTGGCTGCTCATCAGGGAGGCCCTTTCCATTGCAATTTAGATGGATGGTGTTGAGAAAACTCTCCAAACTTCCATTCGGCATTTGGTTGGGCAGCGTTTGAAGAAGATGCTCCAGGCGCCCCTCTATTTTCAGTCCAGTAATCTCAATCAATGTCCTTTGCTTGTTTTCAAGAATTAACATCGCGAAGCCTCCAACCTTGCATGCAGCTTGGTTTGCTGCATCAAGGTAGCATTCTGCTCCAGTACGTGGTATTCTGTTGTGCATTCCTTTTCGCACCAACGGTTTTCCACAATCTCTGTTTGCTGGACGTCTCGCCTTCATCGGTTGAGGAGGAGTGGAGGGAATCTAGGTGCCATTTTGTTCTCTGGATACATAGAAAACAAACTAACCGTTAGTTATGTTCAAGAGTTAAAATAAAGTAACTCATTAACAATACAATCACACAGAAACAACAGTGCACTCATACCCTACGTGTCCCTTTAACAAGAACAAAACTGCTCCATGATACCAATAAATGTAACATCCCAAAATACAGTATCACTATAATTCAGAATTAATTACAATTAACAGTAATCATAACCATCTTTGCAATTAAAACAGAAATAAAAGCCTCACTGGCTAATATTTACAGTAGCTGCTCCAAAATAAAACAGCAATTTTACAGTACAACTTTCAAATGTTCAGAATTCTCTAATTTACTAAAACCAGTACTGATGTACATGTCTGCATAATTATATACAGTAACCAAAAACAAGTACAAGCACTTTACAGTGTTTCATAAACTATCAAAATCTAAAACAGTTTCCTGGATAAACGCGTCTGCAGTACTGTAACACAGAACTGTTATAATACATACAGAAAATACAAAGCTCCTATGGATCTAATCCCTACTGCTTCCGATTTTAACTTTCACTTCTACCAGTTGGCTCCTCCAAATTTTCTTCTTCTTCCAGCATTGTTTCAAGGATGCAACACCACCATCTGCTGCACATCCACAACGGATGATCATTGCATTTGACAAGACGGAAGTAACATGGACAATAGACAACACATGGAAAACGCAAGGTAAGCTTAATAATATTTAATTTTATACATAACACATAGTTCACATATCAATTCAAACGTGCAGCACATAAATTATCATTCGCAATATAAAATAAATATCACTACAGACTGGCCGGACTGTAGTAAACATTTAGTTACAAGAGCCGTCCCTTGCACCCGAGTGGATGTAGATAACTGATAACATTAAACAAACAGCTGCCCCACCTCAGCTTAGTCCCCTTCGCCCATATCTAGCGATGAAACGCAGAACTCCTGCCATTCCCACGCATTACTACCCCCTTCTACGTGAAGATGAGTATCACGAATATCAGACGGGACAAGCGAGTTCCTAAACTTTCCAGGTTCATACTTTCCATTCAATATTTCACATTCAACACATATAGCGTTCCCCCCTTGGAACGCTCTTTAATATCCACTTCCAATAATTTCTCTTCAAAATATATCATCGTCTAATAACCAGTTCTCTTTATTTTCCCTTTATCCTTCTGTGTTTCATTCCCTTAACATTTTAACAACATTCATTCTTTGATCAAATAAAAACGAAAGTATTAAGTACTTTTGACACGGCGTTCCTGATAACAGAAACGAACGTGTACTCACTTAATACTTTTCAATACTTATATT